AAAAAAAAAGATTTTATAAACAAAGCCAAGGAAATAATATTGAAAAAATAAATCAAACCCATCTTTATGTTTACCTTATTACCAGGACATCACAAATAAAATAGATACATTAGTGAGCAACACCAAAATCAAACCAATCTTCAATCCTACTGGAAAACTTTCAAGTAAACTAAATAAAGGGAAAGACCCCATCGAAATGTTCCAAAAACAAGGAATATATTCGATCCAATGCTCTTGCAACAAAGTATACATAGGTCAAACTAAAAGATCGTTAAGCATAAGAATAGTAGAGCATGAAGATGATAGCTGTCGTTTGGAAACAGAAAATCAGCCATCGCCGCTCGTGTATACCAAAATGATCACATAATCAAAAAAACAGAAATGAAACTCATCGCAGAACCAAAATATTTCCACAAAAGAAATATTAGAGAAGCAATTGAAATACACAGAAATGTAGACAGACTCATAAACAATGATATGGGCTTTCAACTGAATCAATTAAGAAAAACATTTTTCAATAGAATATATATGAAGAAATCAGACTGAGAAAGCAACACTCGTTAGATGCCGCTGTTCATACACAGTCTATCCTTGAAAATGACGCACGTGGTACGTCAAAATAAGTCGGGTAAATAACTTCATATTTTAGTATATTTTTCGTTACTTAATTTGTACTTGTAAAGCGTACAACATTTGTAAATGGCATAAGGTATTATATAACTTGATCAAATAAAGTCGTTTTTTTATTAATGGGTTTGTCTAATTTTGCTGATTGAATTTTCACTAAATTATTTTTGAAAACGTCTGTAATTATCACATCCCTTTTTTTAGATTTTAGTTTGACTCCAGTGTCAAGTATGAATATGATCAACATAAAGTGAAAAACGAAGAGTATAACTAGGTTACTACTTTATGTTCAAATGTACATTTACTTGATTTAATAAAAAAGGTTTATATATATTTAACTTTCTACGTTTATATTTTGCAAAAAAGGGGGTAAGAATGAACACTAACACTTGGAAAGAAGAATTGAATATTGTATTTGTTTGTTGTTAAACACACATCTACACAATGGCCTGTGCCATCCATGGGTATTTAAATCTGATTTTAGTATTATAAGCTCTCAGACTTGCTACTCAGCCAGGGTGGAGTGGGAGAGAGAGAAAAGACAGTTTTATGTGATATTTTTCATTTAGAGCAGTGCAAGATATTTCTATGAATCGTATAAAAAAGTTTATGAGCAGGTGAAATTATCAACAGCAAATGAAATTTACAGACATAATCTAAACTTGGTGTACCCAGTATTTTATTTGGTTGTAGTAAAGATATTTTCAATCATGCAGACTGAAATATTCTGATGCTGCCATGGAAAAATGTTTTGATGAAACCCTATATGTTCAGGACTTCTTGTTAGTCAAGGAGCTGGACTTTACTAATGATTAAAAACTCCTGAAACTGGCCTGAGATTCAACCTGGTGGAGCCTATGGATGAAGATACACAGTTAGCATCTGACATAAGAGATTTAGCTGAGTCAGTTGTTCGGCTGGCTCTGTAGTATCCTGAGGAGCTCCAGTTGCTCAGAGATCCACCCACAGAACTCAAGACCTCACCAAACAATGAACCATCACAGCCTAGGAGAACCTGCTACAGAACATCACCTCTATGCCAGTAGAGCCAAGCCTGCAGGCAGCTCACTGCAACATCATTGGCAGTGTAGCAGAAGTTGAGGTGGACATAAAGACGATGGGAGCTTTTCTGAAGTGTCCCATCAGGAAATGTTTATTATCCCAAGCCACATCATCAGATATGTGATGTGACTACCTCCAGCAGGGTGACTATATCCTGAAGCCTAGAAAGTCCTTACCCAAAATTGCAGTAATCTTGAGGGGAAGTC